AATGGGGGAGGGGCCTAAGAGACTTCAGGAGACAGGGCACAACTTGAGTTCAATTCAGATAAGTCTAGATATTTTTATCTGGGAGAGTTAAAGGTCCTGTTCACAGGCAGGTCTCAGGGACATAGATTATCCAGAGAGCAATGGCCCAGGAAAGCTTCATGGGGAGCATCAGCATTCATAGGAGCCAAGGAGATGCTAAAATCAGAGCAGTCAGAGAAAAGAGGACAAGAGGGACTGACACCACAGTGTTAGAAAGCTTCCATGAAAGACCATTCAACAATGCCATATGCTATGACAAGTCTACAAACGTGAAGGCTGAGAAGTCACAGAAGTAAAAGGCCACACCCATGATGGCCACATATCGTGAATGCTGAATCCAACTCAGTCCAGCTTGGAAGGAGCCAGTTCCTTTTCGGCTGAATACAGGGCCCACCATAGCAGGAGGTCCAGGGGTCATGACTGTGCTATATACCTAGACACAAGTCCCAAGGGAACCAGGGTGGTTAGATAGACTGAGACTTCCTCATATGGGAGAAGTGAGCCCTCTAGGGCAGTGATTTTCAACCAGTGTGCTACAAAAATTTTTAAAGATCATTAATTAAATTATTTTCAAAAGAAGTTCAAAGCACAGTAAGTATATTCTTTTCTTAACTCTTTTTTTTTTTTTTGAAACAGAGTCTTACTATGTTGCCCTTGGTAGAGTGCCATGGTGTCACAGCTCATAGCAACTTCAAACTCTTGGGTTTAAGTGATTCTCTTGTCTCAGCCTCCCTAGTACCTGGGACAACAGGTGTCTGCCACAATGTCAGGCTATTTTCTTATTGTTGTTCTTGTTGCAGTTGTCATTGCTGGTTAGCTGGCCTGGGCCAGGCTTGAACCCGCCAGCCTTGGTGCATGTGGCCAGTGCTATAACCACTGTGCTACGGACACCAAGCCTCCTTTTTTTTTTTGATCAACATAATTTAAGTGTGCTGTGGAAGTTTAACAATACGTTCAAGTGTGTTGTGACATAAAAAATGTTGGAAAACACTGTTGTGGCCAGTGCGGTGGCTCACACTGGTAATCCCAGCACTCTGGGAGGCCAAGGTGGATGGATTTCCTGAGCTCATGAGTTCGAGACCAGCCTGAGCCAGAGAGAAACCTTGTCTCTAAAAAAATAGCTGGGCCTTGTGGTGGGTACCTATAGTCCCAGCTACTTTGGAGGCTGAGGCAAGAGAATCACTTAAGCCCAAGAGTTTGAGGTTGCTGTGAGCTATGACGCCATAGCACTCTACCAAAGATGATAAAGTGAGACTCTGTCTCAAAATAAAAAGAAAAGAAAAGAAAAACACTTCTAGAGGCTTACCTTATGAGGCACAAAAATAGGGTCTTCACCAAAATATGGCTGCTGTGTAGGAGAAAGGGGGTAATGAGGAAAAGAAGAGGGAGTTGTCTATGGGCAGGACCTAAACCAGCTCCAAAGATGACCTGGTCTCTTGAACATGGATCATTAGCAGTGAGGCCCCTTGAAGTTAAGCTCCTCCCAGCAGCCTTGGGAGCCCTATTGCTTAGGGAGGGCTGGGGTAATAAGAGGTAAGCAAGGAAAGCAGAGGGATATGACTACAAAGCAAAGACACAGGAGCACAGGCAAATGAGAAAGGGAGAGGGCAGAGATGTATGAAGGAGTGATTGGAAGCCAAAAGCTGAGACTAACAATTCCTTATCTAGGGAGAAATTTTTTTTTTTTTAAGATGGCCAAGAATGATAGAGGGCATAGAAATAGCCAGATCACTAGTTTTCCTTCCTTTCAGCATTTAGGGCCTTAATTGATCAGAAACGACCTTAACTCAAAGCTGTCTGCCACAGCAGGAAGAAGCTCCCTAGCCAGGAGGGCTGTTGGAAAAGGAGACAGAACTAATTTGGTTAGCCTCCCCCTCACCAACCCTCAGGATCCCTGTGGCCTCCTGTCCCATGCCATGTTTACTGCTAGGGAAAATAACAAGTCTAGTTAGAATCTGGGCTCCCCTCTGCCAGAAACCCATAGGAAAGGAAGGCCTGAAGCCAACAAGCTCCAGAGACTAAAAGATGCTCCAGACCCCAGCCTCATAAAAGAAAGATGAGGCTGCCATGGTGCACGGTGGGAAGGAACCTGCAGCCCCGCTGGCAGCTTCACTGGGCAGGGCCTGCTCAGGCAGAAGCAGATGAGAAGAAAAAGCAGGAAGACAGGAGCCTGTGTGCCCAGAGAAAAACCAGAAGGCAGCATTCCAGAGCTCCCCCACCTCCCACCTCCCATTGAACATTTAAAGAGAAACAGTCCACATTAATAAATAGCTGTCTTTGTTCACCAAGAGGGAAGTGAACTTAGGGAAACTCTTTCCTTCATCAGAGCAGCAAGCAGAGCCCCATAGCTTCAAGCAAGGTTTTGATAAATTCATGGCTGACCTTTCCATAATGAGCAATTATGACTGGATGGGTGCTGTAGAAGGAACTTCTCCTATGAGGCTCATGTGAGGAGGGGTCACTGGGCCACCCCAGTGGTCTCTGCACATTCAGGCAGACAAGCAGAGGCTACAGAATAGTGGGTCCAGTCCTGGAGCTCCTCTCTCAGAAACAGATGTGAGAATTCACAAAGTTTGGGCTAAGAAAAATAGCCCAATTCAGGGCAGCATCTGTGGCTCAGTGGGTAGGGCACCGCCACATACACCCAGGGTGGCAGTTCAAACCCAGCCTGGGCCAGCTAAATAGTAATTAAAAAAAAAAAAAAAGCTGAAAGGTGCACTTAGGTCAGCATCAGGGAGGCCCCAGGGACTGGCTACAAAGCTTCCTGTGTGTCTATGGACCAAAAAGAATTTGCTCTCCTGACAACAGCAGCACAGGAGTAAAGATCTCCATAATGCTCATTAAGACCACTGAGAAGGAACCTGTGATTGGATAGGAAGCTAGTAGCATCATGGGCTCAAAGCCTCTGAGGTACTGGGGAGGGAAGATGTCACATCCAGGGTTCCAGGGCAGGGAGGGGTGTCATACTACAAGCAGAGTTTCCCTTGAGGTTGATATCTTCCATTCCTAATTTCCCAGCCCTGTTCAGTTATGGCTTCACTCTGAAGATAAGTTTCTAAGATCCATAGGACCCCAGAGTAACCCAGAGAGCTATCTTCTCCTTGGTACACATAAGGACAAAGCACCATGCTGGCCTGGTGACATCCCCCATAGCAAGTTTGTACTGAGGCACTTGAGCATATAGGCACTCGTAATGAGAAAGGATACCTGAGAAGGGTGAGGTCTAGGAGAACAGGTCTTCTCAAGGAGACCACAAGGATACATGTGCAGGGTCCTCTCCATGGTGACTCAGCTCTTGGGAGTTTATAAAACTTCCTGGAGCTTGGAAATTTCCAAGTTCTGTGAAATCCTACAGTTCTATAGGGGCTGGAATAGCATCTCCTGTTTGATTCAAACTGGCCAATGAGAAGGGGATGAGCAGGTTGGAACTTTTTGACTGTTGATAAAAAGGGAAAGACCAAGCTAGTTGGGGAGCGCGGCCATTTGCGATTCGTGGCCATAGTAATTCTTCTATGCCATGAACTCCAGCTGGTAAATAAAGCCCTTCCTCTTATAAACATGGTGTAGGGTGCTCTTTCTCTCCATTGGGCCTCATCTTCCTGCAACATTTTTGGTTCCCTGACTAGGAAGTGAGATCACCCTGGCAGAGAACACACATATGGTAGTTGCTGCCAATCCTCTGGACACCCACGTGGGGACCCCTATCGGCCTGGGTGATGTGAACCACTGAGTGCGCCAGGGAGGCAGTTTGGCCTCCCTGTGTGGATGCCTCGACTGGTCTGAGAAAGGACCCTGTCGGGGGATCTTCAAGGAGTCAAACACCTGGAGGAACTTGCATGCAGGAACAGGTACCTACACAGGGAGACATCTAAGGTAAGGTATGATTGATCTGGGGATCCCACTACAGCAGTGGTTCTCAACCTTCCTAATGCTGTAGCCCTTTAATACAGTTACCCATAGGTTGAAAACCGCAGCACTACAGTTAGTGGAAGAAGGAACCTGATCAACTCCTTGGGGATTAGATTGCCAGTAGGTCTGTTGAGAGGTGTGTGAGGGTGTGTGGATGTGGTATGACTGAGAGAACTCCGAGGGTGGAGTTGGGCCTCCCTTCACAGGGCCTAAGGAAGTGTTGATTTGCCTCCTATGGCTAAGTGGCAGCTTGAGTGGGAAATTGAGGCTGCCTAGGTTAAAAAATGGGTTGGATGGGGCAGCGCCTGTGCCTCAGTGGGTAGGGCACTAGCCCCATATACCAAGTATGGCGGGTTCAAACCCAGCCCTGGCCAAACTGCAACAACAACAAAAAAATAGCCAGGCATTGTGGCGGGTGCCTGTAGTCCCAGGTACTTGGGAGGCTGAGGCGGGAGAATCACCTAAGCCCAGGAGTTGGAAGTTGCTGTGAGCTGATGCCACAGCACTCTACTGGGGGTGATAAAGTGAGACTCTTTTCTCTAAAAAAAAGAAAAAGAAATGGGTTGGAATTGTGTGCATGTGAGTGCTTAGAGATTGACTGAGACAGATAATAATAGGTGGGGTTGAAACCCCCACCATTCACAGGGTGAAACGAATATGTGAGTGTCCCCTTCTTTCCCACTCCAACTTTGTCCCCTGGCTATTCTGAGAGAAATTGTAAGTTTCGGATTTCCTGCTTTCTATCTTTGGTGGGGGCCACATGGCCATGTGGGACTTGGGGGAAAATGAAAAGACATTAGAAAGGATGTTGTAGTTTTGTTACTGGACTTTCTTCAGTGAGTCTTTGGTCTCAGGAATTTGAGAATTGAGTCTGTGGGCCACAGATCAGTGATAAAATAGGATTTTGTTGGACTGAGGGGCATGCAGAGAGAGTGGAGAGTACCAGAGCTATTGGCAGAGGGGCTGTGCCATGGAAAGTGCTGCGGTTAGGGCAGTCTGGTAAACTCTGGATGGTCCTTGAAAATCTGGGGGAGAGAGTGTAAATCGTAAATCTTGTGTCGGGCAGGGCTGTATCCATGTCTGTAGCAGGTCTCCAAGGTGAACAGCCTCTGGAAGGTGGGAGGAGGCCTAGGTCCGAGGTTTCCTGCATGAGTCCTTTGTCTAGGGGTAAATAATTGGCCCTGAGAGATATTTTGGCCAAGACTGGGTAGATGTATGGAAAAATACCTTTACAAACTGAATGAGTGTTCTAGCAAATGAATGAATGCAGCCCCTCACCTTGGGCAAGGTTATTAGGTCTTTGCTGAGGTTTTTGTCTGTGGAAGGGATTAGGGTGTGTGCTCCCTAGTCAGGGTGGAGCCATCCAAAACGTTTGGGGCTGCTTTGTTCATGACCTTGCTAGGGCTCAGAGGGTATGGCCTGCAACATGTTTGTGCCTGGAGATGGGAGTCTGATGTCTGAGCTCACCTGAGCCTGAAAAATGGGGGTTCCCTGTCTAGCCCTGAGTGAGAAAATCCTGTATCAATGTTATATTTCATAAAATGTCTCTCATTTGTAATAATAATTTGGTTGTTTAAATTGTTGGGGAAACTGAGTCTTTGTCAAAGGATAAGATTCTTGCCTTTTAAACCTAATTATCAGTTTGGCCAAGTGAATGGGTGACTTCATAGTAAACTTGGATCCTGTTTTGTGGAAAGTGGATTTTTGAGAGTAAGAGAAATTAGAGAGAAAGGAAAATGGCACTGTGTAAGCAAAGAATCTTGCTTTTTTTTTTTTTTTTTGAGACAGAGCCTCAAGCTGTC